CTGGATATATAAATATAAATATATATATGAATATATTCTTTGGTATATTCAATCACAAGCAAACACACATATTCAAAACATACAACACAGTCAAGAAATAGTTGTAGGTAAGTTAAAGAAGTCTTGCTAAAGTATTGCAAGTCTTCTTGAGAATTATTGCAAGACTCTCTGACTCAATTGTCTCTGGAAGATTTTGAGGAAATGATAAGAAAGCAGGAGTATATATGCTTTCAAATATTTAGCTCATGAAATAGTTTTGGAGTTAGGGATGAGTATCCAGGTCTCAAGGCCAGGATGCTGTGTTCTTTGGAACCAGTGCAAATATGATTGAAGAGGAAGAAACTAAACTTAGGAAACAGTAATTAACATGTGTTACTGTCAGCAGGAAAAGGAAGAGTAATATGCAGTTGCAAGGAATTGGGTCACGCCCATTAATGGAGAATGATGCAAAAGTTATCAAACCAAAACAGGAAGGAAATAAATACATTGGAAAGTCTTGTTCCCTTATTTTCTATTTTGGAACTGTAAAAGAAACTTGAAACAAAGTGTCAAATTGTTCGTAGGATAACAAATTGAACTGAAGAAAAATTTTTTTTTTTTGAGAAAAAAATTCTTCGGCACAAGAAAAAAATATTCAACCCTGATGACGTATTTTTCAGAAAATGTTATGGAAAACTTCTTGCTCTTCACTTAAAAGATGAGGCACCAATCTTGCCGAATTTTTGACGCACACCTTTCTCCAAAATTCCCATCAGAATTTTTGGAATTGACATGGCATCAAATGCAAGGGTAGCCTCCTGGTCTTCAGCCATTTTCAGTAAACACCGCCACTTGGGATAAGATAATCATTATTTTCTCAACAATAATTACTTTTCAGCGCAATCATTCACCGTTCCCGAGAACTTTCGTTAGACCCCTTTCGTATCGTTTCAATTTTCAAGGTTGATTGCGCCGAACGGAACGATTCTTCGAGAAGCCCCACTTCTTATCGGCCCCAAGCAAGTCTCTGCGCCATTGTGCCTCGGTTGTCATTTGCACACTGCAGAACTGATGCCCTGCTCCCGATGCGGCTGGCCCGTTTGCAGCCCGGCCTGCGCAGCGTCTAGAAACCACTTGCCAGAATGCACCCTCAGTTCCAGATGCCGACGAACGAAGCTCGACCCAGCTAAACTGTCATCGTCTCCTTACATGCTCGGCTGTATCATCGTGCTCAGAGCCTTGTATTTGAAGGAAACCAACGCGGAAGCCTGGAAACAGTTGATGAGTTTGCAGAGCCACTCGGCAGCGAGGCGAGTGATGGACAAGCACGACTTGGACTCGGTGAACGTTGTGGCTTTCATCAGGGATTTCCTGAGGCTCCGCGACTACGACTCGGATTTGATGGACGAGATAATCGGCATAGTGGACACGAATGCTTTCGTTGTTCCGCGAATGGACATTTGCGCGATTTATCACAGGGCATCCATGGCAGAACACAGCTGCTTGTTCAACACTGTTCAGACTTTCGACGAGGACCTGGTGCTGACTTTGAAGGCTGTGCGCGAAATCAAGCCCGGGGAACCCGTGACTATTTGCTACACGGACCCGTTGTGGGGAACCCGCAACCGAAGGTTTCACTTGGCAGAAACGAAGCTTTTTGACTGCTTGTGCGAAAGGTGTCGGGATCCGTTTGAGTTGGGCACGAACCTGAGCTCGTTGAAGTGTAGCAAATGTGCAAAGGGGAGTTTGGTGAATGTGACACCCCTGGTGGAGCCGGGGAAATGGGCTTGTGTTTGTGGACATGAGGTTACTTGGCTCGAGGCTGAACGGGTTCTGGGGAAGTTTGGGGAGAGGCTGAGCAAGCTGGAGGACAAGGTTGGCAAGTGCGAGGCCTTCATCGAAGACTGCCTGAGTGTGTTGCATCCTAATCATTTCTATATTCTTGAAGCGGGTTCCGCATTGTTGGGAATGTATCAAAACACGCCTAGTCATTTGTTAACCAAAGGGCAAATTAAACTGAGGGATCAACTCGGTTCGAGGATTAAAACTGTTTCCAGGATTTTGATGGTTGAAGGTTCATGAGCAGTGCTGTGTTTTGCGTGATGGCAATCAGCAACCAAGTGTGTTCATCCCTTGTACAATGTTGATGAGAATTTATTCTCTGGTTGGTGTGATTTTCCCCACCCCCGAAGTACTGTAAAATGTATTGAATCAGTCAGTTTAGTATTGTTTTTTTGGGCATTTACAGAACCAAGCAAAATAATGAAGGATAAAGATGCAGTGGAACAAATAAAGCACACACAATTGGTCAGTTTGGGGCCAAGAATGTATGTTCTGGGGGACACATAACGTTCTTAGTTTTTTTTTTTCAGAATGATTTATTGTGTGATTTGATGGCAAAGAAATGACAGGATTCACAAGGAATGCTGAAAACATTGCACAAATGAATAAAGAAATTTGCGTGCAAACCCAAACAAAGGTGTGAAGTACAGTATTTATATATGAAAGAAGGAATAATAAGAAATTAGTGATTCCTAATGATTCTTGATGATCCAATTAAAAAAAAAGGAATTGTATGCCCAAGGTATCCACGCACACCCCATTTATAAGGTATCTAAAACTGCAATACAGTACTGTATTTGAAAATAAGACCACCCAAATTTGAACTTAGACATGGATTGATCCTGAATTCAACTAATTTTCAATTTTTCCCATTACAATAAGTTTTTCTGTTGAAAATGGTCCAAAATTGCCCAATAGAATCCAATAAAGAACAGTATGTGGCTATGTGCACACTTGAACTTATAAAAAATTTTAAATGTTATGCTTACCTATGAAAAGAACCCCTTTTTTCTTCTAAATTTTGAGTAGGCCCCTTTTCCCTCTAAATTTTGAGTAAAAAAGGTGCGCGTGGTACTTGAGTAAGTATGATGATATTTAGTAATGCATTAACTTAGGTCCCTTGTTGCTGTACTGGCGAAGAATGGGAGAGAAATCATTTCTCTTGTGGTATTTTACTGTACTGTACTAATAAGATTGGAAAAACAAGACATTGGTCTCTAAATGCGGCTATGCGGCAGGAAAATTGTCTGCAAAATTGGAATAAAAATTCCTTCTGCAGACTGTTGAGCAAACCTGTGAAGTGAACCAGACCTCAAATGATACTATATCGGTTGCCTTTGCAGTGGAAGAGTTGATTTTCCGGGTGCCTGTGGATCGTTTTACCCTGTATATCTGTGTGATCCGAAAGCAAATCCTCCTGCCTGAACTCTGAATTGCGATTCAAGATTGATTATTTATTTCATGAGTGTACGATTTTATTTTAACCCCTACTTATTCGTTTCGTTTGCAGGCCGGTGTGAGATATTTGTTTCCAGTGATGTCTGTTACCAAAGTGCAACTATTTTATGACGTCCTCTCGCCATACTCATGGTTTGCATTAGAAGTGAGCCTGATCTTATTTCATTTAGGGGTATTTTTCTTACAACGTTCTTACTTTTATTCTTCTTACCTTTATAGACCATATGCCGTTATCGAACCCTATGGAACATGAGTCTGGAAATGAAGCCTGCTTTGTTGAGTGCTGTTGTTTCCAAAGCTGGGAACAGTCCTCCAGGTTTAGTGCCAAATAAAATGAAGTACATGTGTCAGGACTTGCTTATCGGTGCTGAATATTTTGATGTTCCTTTGAAATTGATTTCTGTGAGCAATTTTTCTTTTTAGTTGTAAGATTGAAGAAACTGAGTATTGATTTTTTTTTGTAGGATCCTTCCACTACATTTTTCCAAAAGGGGTCCATGAGACCGATGAGATTTTTGACTGCGATTTATAAAGAATCGCCTGAAAAACTGGAAAGTGTTTCGAGGCAGCTTTGGATGCGCATTTGGAGTCGGGTGAACATTGCAACTTCTCTGTCAATTTTTTTTAAGGGAATTCCGGTGTATGCAACGAAAAAATATTTCGAAGAACATTACATTGTAACTCAAATTTTCCGAGATAATTTCTGAACGCCCATGTCAAAATAATTGAGTTTCAAATGCATTTTTTTAAACTTGGAAGTGAAGTACTGTATAGGTAAACCTCCCTATGTTGAATTTTTTCAAGTCTGTGTTTGAATTCCCTTTGAAACAATGTATTGAAACCTCCCTAACTCAAAGGCTTTCTTTTTCAAAACCTGCATAAAACTTGAATTTTCAGGATGATTTTGGCTATTATTTTATTGATACGAAAAAGAGAAAATAAAGCTGTAACGTGATGCATTTTGAAAGGACGTGATAGACAAATTGAGCATATATGAACCCATGTTTTCAACTTCAGCATCTCATTCAAGAACCAATTGAGGCCAATAATGTCACCAATTGAAATATCCTATAATTCTTCTCTCTGCCCCCCCCCCTACAAAAATGCAGTTGAATAACCTCTGTCAAATTTCTAGGGACCAGGGAAAAAGTTTGACTTAGGGAGGTTTTGATTTTTGGAGGTTTCCAGTTGAGGAAACAAACACTTTTGTTGTGAGGAGAAGTGGAAAAAGTGTGGGAAATCATAAATGAGGATATTCTGGGCCTAAACTTGCTCCTTAATGAGTTTACATTGCCAAACTTGGAGGCAGGGGTTCATTTGCTATATTTGTCTTTCACTTCCTTTCAAGATGCATCATTATTTGTTCTAATCATTTTCTCTTTCATATTGCAAGGAAATAATGACCAGAAGGCCTCAGAAAATTTGACTTACAGAGGTTTTAGAGAAAAAGATTTTGAGTTGGGGAGGTTTTTAATGTTTTGATTCTAAGGGAATTCAGACAGGGACTAGAAAAAAATTTTGACTTATGGAGGTTCACCTGTGCTTGTTTCCCTTCCTTGAGACTTCCATAAATTGATTATTTTGCTAGTCAAAGTTTGACTTGAAGGTTTGACTAGTATATTTTTTATGTAATTTGAAGGAGATTGGGAAATTCATCATCATGTTCAGGAGTAATTATTTAATCAAGGTAAATTAAAAATATACAAATTTAGCGCTCCACTTTGTTTCTCCTTAATGAATCACATCACTGTATAGTGATTCACCATTCTGACGCTATCAGTGGAAGCATGAATCATCGGAGGTTTTACATAAATTAGGATGAAGATATGGTTGCCCCCGAAAGCATAGCTGCAGCTGGGAAAGCAGCTGGTTTGTCTGATGAGGAGGTGCAACGATATCTTGCAGCAACTGAAACTGACGCTGTGAAAGAGGCTTTGAAGGATTCAGTTGCCGAAGTTTTGGATGCGGGAGTGAGTTGTAATCAAGTAGGATTGTACTCAGGAATGATGAATTCAATCCTCGTTATTTTAGGGTTTTGGGTTACCCTTCTTTATTGTCGGAGAAGGAAGCGAAAGGAAAATATTTTTTGGATCCGACCGCTTCCCCCAGATGGCGTTTGTGATGGGAGAATCATGGCGTGGTCCAGTTCCATTGCGCGGTCGAGAAGTGGATGGGAAATTGTGACTTTTTGGTAAGAATCGGAAATTTCTTGAACTTCGCATCAAACGAACAAAATAAATGCGTCATCGTATGATCCATGGTTTCTGAATGTTGCTCGGTACTTGTTCCTGCGGTGTCTCCTTTTGTTTCGGGGTCAGCGAATTTATTTTGAAGCCATTCGATGTGGGTATAATCTTACGGAGGAAAAATTTTGGGACTTAAAAAAAAACAGATTTAACTGTCCATTATCTGGTGACGTACTCGTGCTAAAATTAATTTCAGTTTGAGTCATAATGGATAAGGTTATATAACTGAAGTACTGTATGTATTCCTGTAGTAGTTCGCGTTGAAAAATTACTCTTGTTCACATGGTTGGTCCGTAAGTTGACAAGATACTATTATTGATTTTTCTTGAGTCATAATGGATAAGGTTATATAACTGAAGTACTGTATGTATTCCTGTAGTAGTTCGCGTTGAAAAATTACTCTTGTTCACATGGTTGGTCCGTAAGTTGACAAGATACTATTATTGATTTTTCCAAGTAAAGTTATTGTTGTTGGAAGTCTTGGAACTTCACTAATTTTTCGATTTTGTTCAATGCGATAAATATTTCACACTGCTGACTGGAAAGGCCTCACGGCTCCGTTAATGAAGAGTTCAGCAATCACGGTAGTCTACCCGAAAATGCTTAATCTAGCGCCGAGGGACATAGGAAAGAGGGGTGGCTAAATTTCGTTCGAAAATTCTTTCCTGGTCAATATTTTTTAATCGCAGGGTATTTCGGAGGATATCGGGTTTCCTTCTATGGTCATGAATTCTTTTCTAGACGAGGCGCCTCAGTGTGCTTATACTGATACCTGCGCGTGGAGATGTGCAGTACATTTTTTGGAACGGATCGACACTTATTATTCATTTGGTTCGTTTCTTGGGACATTTATAAATTCTTGAGGATTGTAATTCTGTGCTAGAGAGAAGTGAATGTGATGGGAAACGAGTGTGACGTTTCACGGTCGTTCCGTGTGATGCCCGTGCGTCGGTTTCTGAGTGTACCTTACCGCGAATTTAGCTGTTAAAACAGTATTCGCGATGCCCCAACGGGATGAATCCGACCGTCGGGCTGCGTCTCAGGTTGATCTCAGCCTGGCTTTAGATTCCCTTCAACGCCGATCATGTGCTTACGGCAGTCTCCCTCACCACTACAAACCGCAGTATTCATTTGAATCCCCGTCTTCTACGACGTCTGCTTCCACCACTCGGAGTAACAGTACGGCAGACGAGGAAGAAGATGGGAAACGCCGTTTGCATTGGAACAAAGTGGACGATGCAGGAGTGAAAGCAGATTTAATGCGATTGTGGTTCACAGAATTCAGTGACATCCAGAGAAACGCGTTCTTGCGAGAGATGATCGAACTGTGTGGGCCGCCCCAAATCCACACGCTCTCTTTGTTGGTCGAAGACCAACTTCACCGTGACTGTCCGCACAATTGTAAAGATTTTCTTGCCTGGCTGCCGCAACATGTTTGCCACGCCATTTTGTCCCACCTCGATCCTGTTTCCCTTGCGAGAGCGTCGCAAGTGTCTCATCTCTGGAGAGAACTCGCGACGAATGAATTCCTTTGGAAGAAGCTTTGTCTAGCGCATTCGTGGACTTTGAAAAAGCCGGAAAGTTCAACGTGGAAGGATTTTTTCGCCATGCGATGGAGAGTGCGAAAGAATTGGCTGTCAGCTCGGTGCCATATCCGAACGTTTGTCGGTCACACGCACGCAGTGACGTGCGTGCAAATGGACGACACGCGGATCGTTTCCGGTTCGCATGATCAAACGATCAAAGTTTGGGACGTGAGAACCAACAGCAAGTGGTCTGTTATGACATTGGTGGGCCACTCTGGTACTGTGCGTTGTCTGCAGCTACTCGGAGGAGAGTCGACTCCGAAGCTTGTTTCGGGATCCTCCGATGGTACCATCAAGGTGTGGGATTTAGCCATGAAACCGGAATGGTCGTCGATTGCGTGTCGAACGACCATGGTTGGGCATCTCGAAACCGTTCGGTGCCTCCAGGTTCGTGATTTTTGAATCTGGGATTGAGTCTTCGGGCCGAACGCATGAAAAGAAAATGCTCTACTTTGCATTATCAAGTTTCAATTACAGTACTGTTTAGGGAGATGGAAAAATTCAGTAGAAACTCGCTAGAACGAATTATTGGTTACAATTTTCATTGGTTTAAATTCCCTGTCCGATAGCAACAATGTTATTCAAATCGCTGTATGGCGAATTCATCGTCACAACGAAGTTCTTCTCCTGGTCCTAAAAGCTTCGTTCTAACAAGATCTTGCTTGTAAAAAATGAAAATGTTATAAAATGTATATCTCTTAGAAGGCTTCAGCTGTCCTCATGAAAAAATATTTGAAACAAAGATACAGTACTATTGTGTACTGTACATCCAAATTCCGTTGCAACGAATTTCTTTATGACGAAATTTCCGTTATAAATAAGTATGAGTAATTTTTTTCTTGTTCCCGGTTTTTTTGTTGTTGGTGCAGGAACAATGTTATAAAATTATATTTCAACACTACTGTACTTTTCACCTCAGTATGACCCTTTTTTTTTGCCTCGTTGATGTAAGCGGGGGATGTAGGAATTTTCGATACTTGGCAACAAACTGGGAAAAAACTGTCATAAAATAGAAATGCAGGTGAACTCTCGCTATTACGAAATCCAGGGACCAGACAAAATTCGTTGCAGAGTACCCGTATAACTTCAGGAAAAATCCTACGGGACCAAGAAATATTCGTTGTGCAGAAAAAATCGTTGCAAGTTGGATTTTCTCCTTGTTTGTCCCAATTACTGTACTTAAAATTCCTACAACCCATGCTCACATAAGCAAAGCAAAAAATACGTTATAGTGAGGTGATGAGTAATTTGTTGATTTTTTTTTTTTTACGGAAAATGTAGCATAATTGTCAGGAAAAGGTCAGACGACGATATGGAAACCATATTTACTGTGAATAAATTTAGGATATGTCGGAATTATTTTGATTTTTCGTGTCATTGCGTAGGCGGACGAAGAACGAGTTATCAGTGGATCGTACGACAGAACTCTGAAGATTTGGTGCATTAAAACCGGTCGTTGTCTGCGAACGCTTACTGGTCATACTGGAAAGGTTCTCACCGTATTTTACGATGCTGCCGACAATACCTTAATCTCTGGCTCTGACGACTGTCACATAAAGGTGGGTATTTCACACGTTCATTCGTTGTAATTTTGATTTGAGGATTTTGACAAGAAGCAATTGTCTCTTGACAGTCACATAGTTGATTGGTTTTTAATTTTAAATCGAAATGACTGGTCATTCCATTCGAAATGACGTGGTCTTTGTGTCTTCGGGTCAAGGTTTGGAGAATGGAATCCGGTCATTGCGTGAATACACTTGAGGGACACACTGAGGCAGTGACTTCGTTGACGCTGGCTGCTGGAGACGGGAGTGAAAGACGAATAATCTCTGGTTCTTTGGATCGAACCATCAAAGTGTGGTCACTTTTATCTGGAGATTGTTTGTCGACGTTGGATTGGATGAACTCCGAGGGTCACACAGGTGAATTTTGAAATTCGGATTTTTTTCAAGCTGGGAAAATGCGAAACGAACACATTTTTAGTTGTCCGGGACTCTTCAGAACTTTTATGGAATTGAGAAGTTTTCCTCGTTAGGAATTCTAAAATGCTTAACGAACATGAATTCAAAACCTGTACCCATTCAAACTACGTCTCAGGAAATAATCCGTTCATTCTCTACGGATTGAAAATTATAATTAATTTTTTTGAAAGTCGGAAATTCTTGAATTCGTATTCAGTCATAAATAACGATTGCCGCTGCGTTTCTCTTCTTTAACGTTCGGCATTTTATCCTTGAAATTGCCTGGATTTCCAAGCTATTTCTTCTCTTGGATTCTTATAAGAATGTCTTCGACTCTAGGAGTTATCCGTTGTTTGCAAGCGGATTCTTGGCGGATCGTGTCTGCGGCGGATGATAAAACAATCAAGATGTGGTCTCTGGAAAGCGGTAAACGGTTGGTCACTTTTCGCAAGCACGAAGACGGAGTCACCTGTGTCCATTTCAACGACTTCACCATGGTTTCGGGCTCTTATGACAAAACGGTGAAGCTCTGGGACTTCCGCGTTTGCTAATTGTAGTACAGTTCAGTACTTGGAGTCGGTCGTGTTCTTCATCGAGTATCATTTTTGTATTGGCGAACGCAAGGTCGAATTTTTTTTTTTCTTTTCGTCTTGAGCAACACCCAGAATTTTAAGTTTGGTCTAATCTTTGACAGCTTTTCAACGATTGAAGCCACAGCTGCCGCTATTATATTTTATGAATAGGAAAATTAGGATATGATTTCTTCCTTGTTGCAGATAAAAAGTCTTGCCTTGTGTCTCTCGTCGAATTGTGAAGGGCTTTTACAAATACTCATATACGAGCTGAGATGGATGTTCGAGATTCATTTTCAGAAAATGTTGTGATGATTTATTGGTACACTGCAGCGCTCGGATCTTTTGCTTTTTCATTATGGTAAGAGGGGGTTTTGGAGGTCTTTTGAAGTTTCCTTCAAATGGTCATTGCAAGGATTTTTACGGTTTTTCTCC